CTCTCTCTTTTAAAAAAAAAATATTCTATCAATAATTGACAGTATTTTTCTCCTTGATATTTCAAAAAATATACCCTCTCACTACAACATCTTTAATGCTATCCCATCTTACAACTATTTAATGTGTACCACTAGGCTGATTTTCAAATTTTTATGATGAGAAAAATTGCTAACATTATAAATTGGCCTTTCTTATGTTCTACAAAGAACCAGATCTATCTGAGTATATCAACATTTAATATTACTGTGAGTTATTCAGGGAATATTCAATATTTAGGAATATCATTCAACTTTATAATTAGGATAAAAATGAGTAAATATCACAATGATGTCCTAATTTGCTACTTTACTGTTTTTGTAAATTTGATTATACAGTAGCCTATTTTCTAAATTATGGGAATGAGGTTTATTCTTGAATCTGAATTTCATGCAAATACTACGATCTTATAAATACATTGTTCAATAGATTGTTCTTTATTAGTCAACAAAACGTTATTGCTAATAATGGGTGATTGGTGAATTATCTTCAGGTTTTATATAAGGGGGGTTTAGTTTTAGTTTTCAAATATTTACTCTTTCTCATCCATTCAAATGTAATTTTTGCTTAAAATTTTTTATATTTTTATTTTTCCTAACCTTCAGAATACATAGTAAACTTGAAAGATCACACATAGAGTCCTTTGTAAATGTCATTTTTATCTTATTTTCAAAAAACATTATAGGAAAACACTTTTTTAGAAATTGTCATTTTAAGTTGCTTTTTTTCAATGGGCTTTATACAAAACACAATAGAACTAGTATTTAGTTCATTGAAGTGGGAAATGATACAATCTATTCCAAACTTGGTCAGACTATTCTTTTTTTATACTGTGTTCTACTCACTTCCTAATGTTTTACAACTACATCTTTGTCCTACTCTTCCTGTATTTACCACACAATTGTCAACTGTATCATTTCAGCACAGGGCTTATCTTATTTGGGCTAAGTATTGTTCATTTTCTTGAAATCTTATCACATTCTGGAATGTAACTCAAACCTAGATTTATTTAGATGCTGCATTGACATTTGAGAGACAGCTGTTAATTAGAAATGGAACAGATCTGGTGTGCCAGTCCTCAGCTCTTTCCTACAGTAGATACTGTTTCTAGTGGAGTTTTGCTGTGAGCCACAATTCCACTTCATGATTTTATTGAGCCAATGAACCCACAGCTCTTTATTGGTCACTTGTGCTCCCAGATCACATTTACATAAAAATCTCCCTTGCCTTTTTCCTGAACTCCAAATGGGTATAGTCTCCTGCTGAGGAGACATTGTTTCTTAGATGTCAGCCATCTCAAAGTTAAAGCTGTCAGCAGCAATTTCTTCACTAGTCCCGTGTTCTTCTAGTCATTTATTTCCCATCAGTCCCACCTCCAACATCAGCAAGTCCTGGATCCAAACAGGATCCAGCCTCTGCCACAGCCTTGAGTTCTGCTGCTGCTGCCCTAGCCACGCCACCATCACCACTGTTGGGTTTATGCTCCTGCACCTGTCTGCCAGCTTCCCCTCCAGCTACCTAGTCCACTCCTGCTGCTTTACAATACATCTCCACCAGCACTCAGGGCAGCGTTTCCCTCCACCCCTCCCTCAGTGTTGGGGTTGAACCCAGGATACCTCATGCTTACTAGGCAGGTATTTGACCACTGAGCTACACTCTCAGCCCTGGAGCCATTTTTTCTTTTTTTTTCTTTCTTTTTCTTTGTACCAGGGATTGAACTCAGAGGCACCTAATCACTGAGCCACATCATAGCCCTTTTTGTTTTATTTAGAGACAGGGTCTAACTAAATTGCTAAGGCTGGCTTTGAATCCTCCTGCCTCAGCCTCCCAAGCTGCTGGGATTACAGGTGTGTGCCACCACACCTATCCAGAGCCATCTTTTTAAAGCTTAGGTTAGGCTATGTTCATTTCTTGCTTTAAACTCTCCAAAGGCTTAAAACCAAATCACATGTAAAATCATCACACTTAAACCCAAATTATACCTTAGTTTACAAACCATGCTAGGCTCTGACCTTGCCCTTCCCTCCTCTCTTGCCTTGCGTAATACTGCTCACTACTATTATTACCTCCATTCCACCACTCTGGCCATATTTCTTCTCTAACTCACCAATCTTGTTCTTGCCTTGGAGACTTTACAGAGTTGCCTGGACCACCTTGACCCTTCACTTCAATCTGAAATAATACTTAAGAAATCACTCACAATTTAAGTAGTCTCACTCTATAGTATTGCTTTATTTACCATCTTCTGTTTTCACAGCACTCTATAATATTGCCTTATTTATCATCTTCCGTTTCTTATGTATATATGAAATTATCTTTACATTGGTTATGTTCTACCTCGTCCCTCCATACACATTCTCACAAAAATATGAAGGTTATCATGGCAGTGACCTTGCCCTGTTTACTAACACATCCCCAGTGTCTGGAATAGTGCCAGGCACATAACAGATAGTCCATGGGTAATAAATGAATCCTGTTTGAATGAACTGTGACAAATGGCATCAGTGTTCCCATGGGCAGCAGTATGAAATGGTCTGTTGAACATCATTGATATTATTTTGTTAATGGGGTAACAGAGTTCTCCATTTCTCTCTTCATTGTGCTTTAGGTATGAAGCTCCACAGATTGCCTTACGTTGTGGGATTATGCTGAGAGAATGTATTCGACATGAACCACTTGCCAAAATCATCCTCTTTTCTAACCAATTCAGAGATTTCTTCAAGTATGTGGAGTTGTCAACATTTGATATTGCTTCAGATGCCTTTGCTACTTTTAAGGTAATTGGGTTTTTCCAGAATCAGCTAGGTTATTCAAAATCAGTTGGTCTCTGAAGAAGCGATTTTTTTTTTTTTTTTGGAAATATTGGGATGGAACCCAGAAGTGCTATGTCATTGAGCTATACCCCCAGCTCTTTCTTTTCTTTCTTTTTTTTTTTTTTAATTTTTATTTATTTATTTTGAGACAGGGTCTTGCTAAATTGCTGAGGTTGGCCTCAAACTTGTGATCCTTGTGCCTTAGACTCCTGAATAGTTGTAATGACAGGGTGAGCCACCATGTCCAGTTGAGTCAATTTAATTTTAAACAGCAAAAAGTTTTGTTCTTTAGACCTGACTGTAGTCAACAGACGGTATATAACATGGATCACAAGAGGCATCAATAAATAAAATACAGTCTAAGAGGCCAGAGTGTCACAAGCTCATATGGAATGAACTCTAACATTTACAGTTAAGTAACAAAAGGAACATGTAGTACAGCATCTTGGGGTGCATATGCACAGAACACCTCGTAGGAGACAACAACAGAAGCTACTTCCAGGGAAAGATATTGGATGGGAAAGGAGATGGAGAATTACATCTCAGAATAGGAAGGACATCATATTATTTTATCAGTGTAATCTTTAAATTTCCATAGGGTAAAGTATTAATAAATTATATTAGGATTTTGAAAACATGACTGGTCACATATATATATATATATTTGTATTTTGACAGAATAATTATAATCACCTATATTTTATCATCTATTATCTACTTTGTCATTATGAGGGAAATATATTTCATCTAGGATAATTTTTTAATTTAAAAAATATAATTATGGTGTAATATACATAAAATTTACCATTTTAACCATACTGTATTGTATAGTTTAGTAGGGGTGCAGTATATGCATATTGCTGAGCATCTACTCTCCAGAATATTTTCATCTCACAAAATTAGAACTCATCTCCATACCTGTTAAACAACTCCCCATTTCCCCCACATTCCAGCCCTGCAACCATTCTGCTTTGTTTCTATGTGTTTTACCATCAAGAAGATATCCAAAGCCAGGCATGGTGGTGCATGCCTGTAATACCAGCAGCTTGGGAGGCTGAGGCAGGAGGATACCGAGTTCAAAGCCAGCCTTAGCAACTTAGTGAGGCCCTAAGCAACTAAGTGAGACCCTGACTCTAAATAAAATATAAAATATGGCTGGGGATGTGGTTAAGTGGTCAAGTGCCCCTGGGTTCAATCCCCTGTACCCCCACCCACCAAAAAAGAAAAAAGATGTCCAGGAAGCATTATCAGAAAATAGTATAGCTAATTTGTGAACAAACACCAGAACTTAACACATTCAATGAATGATGTTACCCTCAAGATTTCTACTTCAGAAAACTATTTGTTTATGCTTATAATCCTGTCACTGTTTAATATATTTTGGTATCAGTGGATATGGCATGTTCCTTCTGCTGTAGTGGAAAATCTTTACCCTTTGAGAATAGATAAAGAGTTTTGGAAACAAAAAGCTATTGGACATCCAGGTCAATGTATAAAGCAGGCAGTCAACTAAAACTACTTTTTGTTTTGTTTTGTAATAACAATAACTAAATTGCTTTAGGCCTTGCTAAATTACTGAGGCTGGCTTTGAATTTATGATCCTTCTGCCTCAGCCTCCTGAGCTGCTAGGATGACAGGCATGTGCCACTGCACCCAGCTAATAATCATAATTATAAAAATAAACTTTAAGATGATTAAACTAGAGTTTGATTTTCTTCAGTGTCTACCAAATTAGTTCTGAAGGGCAGTTCAGAAGAGGAATTTAAAAAATGATATTAGCAATGTGAAGGCATCGTTAAAAAATAGGCTTTCAGGCTAAATATAAAGTAGATAAAACTCATATAAATGTATCTATTCAGATTGATTTCTTTAAACACATTTCAGGAATTGTCAACTTATATTATTTGAAGGTATATTTCTACTTTTCTAGAATACAAATATATAACTTAAAAAATTTATTATATCCCACGTATGGCTTATTTTCTTTATATTAAATAGATTATTTCAATAATATTGACATAGTCCATATTCTAATATTAATACGTACTCTAATCTTATTACTTTATGGACATATTTTGAAAGCTGACTATGACTGGATACAAATAGTTCTTTATTTTAATAGCTTTCTGGAGCTAAAAAAAAAAGGGGGGGAATGCAGTGGTTTGCAGTGCTTGAAAACTATCCATTATCTGCAGACCAGGAATTGACTCAGCCTGTTTAAGAAAGGATCTTAAATCTGTTAGGAAAGTGTTTTAGCTCACATGGTCACAAATGGGAGAATGTGTCCAAAAGCAGAAAAAGTCAATAAGTGCCAGAGATTTAAGTGGAGCAGAAGAAAAGGGAGACCTAAGGAGAAGAAGTTGCTGGGGGAGGGAAGGGATGGAGTGTGAACTGCAGGGAGGTGCAGGGAGCCAGCCAGCTGTGGTGAGCATGCAACAAAGGTAAGGGAACTTGGAATCTGGTTAAGGGGGAGCCACACCTGGCAGCATCCTAGGACCCAGTCTGTAGGAACATCCAAGATATCCCTGGAAATGCAATGAGATGAGGGAGAGTGAACTGATAAAAACTCCAGATGGGGAGAATACAATTTGAGGATGAGGGAGACTATTAGGAGGCCACGTGAGTGGATTAGGGTAGATTCCAAGACTTGCTTAAGCGATCAACAGCTGGTTGTTGCAGCAGCCTGGGGGGTGGGGGGTGGGACCCAGTTAACTGCGGCACTTTTGTCGCCACAAATGGGTGTGCAGGTATGAGATCAGTGCGAACTGCCTGAGACTGCAGGAGAAAGAAGCTACAGTACCAATGTTCCCCCAAAGCCTTCCATAAACACAGCCAACCTCATCCAGCATGGGGATTGAAGGGAGAGTTGCCAGAGCCTGCCTGCTCAAGGTCCACACGTATCTTTGTCCAGCCCACTCGCCCCTTAGACTCTGCCTGAGCAGAGCGCTGAGGATAGAAGAGCCTGTGCAAAACTTGTGGAGTGAAAGCATTAGAGAAAAGGGAAGAAAGAGCATTTCAAAAAACCCAGTTCACATATATGAGAACTGGTTGCCAAAGGAGGGAGATGCCAGAAGACCAAAGAAAGAGGCAGATCCAGGACTGCACAGAGTGCAATTTATTAGAGACTTACAAACAGGCCAGGAGTGGTGCTCACCCTGTAATCCAGCAGCCTGGGAAGCTGAGGCAGGAGGATTGCAAGTTCCAGGCCAGCCTCAGCAACTTAGCGAGACCCTGTCTCAAAATAAAAAGCAAAAAGGGCTGGAGATGTAGCTCAGGGGTTAAGTGACCTGGGTGCAATTTCCAGTACAAAAGAAAGAAAGGAAGACAGACCTACAGACAGAAGTATGTCTTGAGTGGCAGCAAGAAAGGAAGATCCCCATTCCCCAAAGCAGGAGGAAGGAGTTTACATGCTAAGCTAGACAAAAGTGGGCCACAGACAACTGGAATGTACCTGGCCTTTCTCAAAACCTGTGAACACGTCAAACATCAGTTAAGAAACAATCCAGCCATCAGTGGCCAGCACAAACGCTCAGTAATCTGAATGACTTTGTTTAAACCTATAGGTTTGGGATATATGCCAGGGTCAGCTGGTAGGCAAGAGGGCAACTGTCTGCAGCTATGTTTGGAGCCCTCCAAAGAGGTTAAAGGAGCATGAGTGAAGACGAAGATGTAGAGTAAGGAAAAACTGGAAAGAGTGGCAAAGAGTGAGGGAAGGAAGAAAAAGAAAGGGAAAAGCCTGGGGACCAATTCCAAAGAGTATGGGGGAGTGCTGTGAAATCCCAGAGCCTCCTCCATTCCACGGGCAGCTCAGTCTCCCTAGAAAAATAAACGGTGTGCTGTGGCTGCAGATGAGCCACTAGAAGGGTAAATCCAGAGCACACGGTGAGGCAGGCCAGTTCCATCAAATATGAAGAAGGACATTTAATATAAAGGATGATTTTGTTTCTTTCTAGCAAAATGCCTGTGCCTAAGAAAATAAGGATGTGTTTTCTAATAATAGATATTGTAGTTCCATTTTTTCCTCCTTTTTTATCAGATGACTCTGCTGTCATGGAAACAAGTTAGTTCCCTTCTTAAAAAACTGTAACTAAAACTTAATTACAAACAGAACAAATTCTCATGGACAGGAAAAGCAGATGAATATTTTTTTAGTTATAGATGGACACAATACCATTATTTTATTTATTTATTTATTTTTATGTGGTGCTGAGGATAGAACCCAGTGCCTCACACGTGCTAGGCAAGTGCTCTACCATTGAGCTACACCCCAACCCCTGAATATCTGTTTTTTAAACTATCCCCAAAGATTTTTCAGTGTTTAATAGGATAAAATGTACTTAGGGATGGGGGATAGCTCAGTGGTAGAGTGCTTACCTAACATGCATGAGGCCTTGGGTTCTGTCCCCAACACAGCAAAAGTAAATAAAAGAACAAAACATACTTGATAATAATTTTTTTTTTTTTTGAGATAGGTCTCTCTAAGTTGCTGAGGTTAGCTTTGAACTTGCAATCCACCTGCCTCAGCCTTCCAAGGCACAAGATTACAGACATGCACCACTATGCCCAGCCTGGATAATAACTTCTTGCTATCTTATATTCAGCCCAAATTAATTTTCAATAATATTAAATCACAAATATAAATTAGATGTTTATATTTCAGCCTATTTTCCATTGAAAATTTAAACCATAAAAAGTTTTCTAGCACACTACCAATATCAAAAACACCGGTCTTCTATACTTTACCAAAATGCTGTGGTTAATGTGACAATGACTATGTCACTATTTTTTTTTTTTTTAAGTAGCTGGTTTCAAAAAGTTTTGTTTATTTGGTTGGTTGACTGGATTTACTTTTGGCTTTGGTTTTGGTTTTTTTAACCTATTAAGGCTCACTTTTTTCATTTTGCTTTTAAACTTGCCCAGTTTAATAGTTAATGTTTTCACATTGTTAATTTATATTTTTCTTA